TTTTTAAACTAATTATGTGCTTTTCACAGGTACGCCTCGTTATAACTGTCAGCTGCACAGGAACACCACCAAACTGCACAGAAATAACTGTGAATCTCTTGAGCCAGTGGAGCTCACATTCTGTGAGGGATCCTGCATGGCATCCTCTTCCATGTAAGATTTGTCAACATTTAACTGAGGATTATGCAGCAGAATCGTCTCAGTTGTGTCAAAATCTGCATAAAATGACCATTCTTTTTTTTTTTTTTGCAGGTACTCTGCGGAGGTCAACAAAATCATGCATACATGTACTTGTTGTCGAGAAGTTGCCACCAGCCAGAAAGAAGTGGAGATGAAATGTCAAGATGGCAGTATAATTAAGCACAAATATACTTCAGTTGATAAGTGCGAATGCCGAGTTGCTGAGTGTAAAGAGTGGGCCAAACGTTAAAGAGACACATGAGAAAAGTTAAAACGGAACATTTAAGCTCTATAGGGGAAATAATCTGCGGTTTCAATAAGCGCTTGCATGCTGATGCTTTGAAATACACAACTCTGAGGATTAAACAAATCCAGAAAGCAGAGGAGTTCTAGTCTGAAATATGCGTTTGGGTGGAGTAGCTTTCTTTAACTTTCAATGCGTAGTTATTTTTTGGGTGGCAGTAAAATACTCTACGCTGTTTTAAACTTTTGCCTTTTGCCTCAATAAATTCTTATTCATCAATGATCGGAGTGTTTTGCTTTTTTTCTCATAATGAAGTCAAGTTTCACTGAATTATATTCCCAAAAATTCATTTTTATCATTCGTCTTTAGTGTGTAAATATTATTGTTAAGTTACCGATTATTGGAAAAATGCACAATATTTAATAAATGCTTAATAATGACCCAAATAGTTACCATATATAAATAGAATATTACAGGCATCGTGTTTCTGAATATTCACCATTTAGTGATTGGTTGTCTCAAGTTTTCATGAAATAGAATAAGGGTTTTAACCACATAGCAAGACAAAATCTATCTAGAATATCTTTTCCTTTTATGCTCAGGACTAGCTTTGATTTCTATTCACTCATTAAAGAAAATTCTATTGTGAAGAAATAGAAGCAAAAACATGAAGCTGCACATTTATTTTCCCAAGAATAAGTCATGTGCCTTTGTCTACATGAGTGAAATAACATTGTGTCATTTATATCATTGTGAACAGGGGGAGTTTTACCATTAGGCAATACTAGGCAGCTGCTTAGGGCCCCAAGTTCCTGGGGGCCCCATAAAACTCTTTTTCCATGTATGGTTAATACAACTATTCCTTATTTAAGCACATTAATTATGTTTCTCCTTTTGTTAAAATGCCATCAGAACGCTGATAATATTAAGTGTGTCTCAGCCCCCCCCCTTCAGTGTCCACCATATTGGATCAGTCCATTTGCTGCACATGTTCAGAAAGGTCCAAACAGACAGCAGCAAACCATTTGAAAACAAACCATGCAAAGAGCAGTGTTGTCAACTTAGCGCTTTAGTCGCTATATTTAGCCACTTTTCAGACCCCTC